CCTGGGCTGTCTTTGTGTTTCTGGCTCCCTGCCTGCCTGTCTGAAAACCTGGTCCTGTCTGGCACTTCTTTTTTTTATTCTTATGTTTGAATTTATAACTTGGAGTGCAGCAGAATGAGGTTCTCTGCAATATTGCTGCTGATGAGATCAGCTGCCCTGGGGGGGGAGGGTTGATTTGGAGCAGGGGAGACTTGGTTTTTACCTGCAAGTCTAATGTGGACTTGCTGTTTTACCCTTCTTACTGCCCTTCATTCTTTGTTTGCTGCAGTTCTCTGTGTTTGCATTGGTTAAGTTTGACACTTGTGGGTCAGGAAAACTCTCTCCCTGGGTGTATCCCGAGTGCATCCCATTGGGATTTGCTGTGTAGCCCAAGGGTAGGGAGGGAAGGGGTCTGCTGTTCACTGCTGAGGGCCAGAGCATAGCTGGGAGCCCTGGAATCCACTGGAGCTGGATGACAGGGATCACCCACACATCCTCCCTGGGAACGTGCCAGGAGACTTGTTCTCAGTGAAGGTTTCCAGGTCTCCAGGCTTCAAACATTCACGCAGTCTGAATAATTTATCAAGCTCCAGCACTTGCTGGAGTCAAATATTCTTCTCCAGCATCTTGGATCTTTAAAAAATGGATGAAAACATTTTTACTTGAAAAACCTTCCCCTTTGTGTGATGTTTCCCCTTTCTCACCTGCCACACCCACAATCATTCCAAATACACAACTGGCACCAGGGTCAGCTGCTCTTCTGTGCAAGGATCTCCTTCTTCCCTGCTGCCTTTGACTTTCAGAAGGGCAACTTTATTTGTTTCGAAAGGTGGGAGCCCCACTGACTGTATCTGTCTGTAATGAGTAAATTCAGTCTCACTATAACAGGATGTTTCTGGGCAGATCCATCCTCCTCCTCCCCTCGTGCCCCATGAACCAGAGCAGTGAAGGGCACAGGGGAGGCACAGGGTGGCACAGCAGGGACTGTCTTGGGTCTGCTGCAATGTTTGAATGTGGGGTCCCTGGCAGTTCAGGAAGGCTTTTTCCCCTCCTTGGGAATGTGGGTGGGGTCTCCCCTGGTCTGGGACCTGCAGAATGGAGGGAACTGGGGTCTGGTGCTGTTTGAGTGTCTGGGAGAGATCTTGGGGTGTTAAATGGCAAAGCAGGAACCTCTTGTGTGACTCTGGTGCTTGATTGGCTCCTCTGGTGAGAAGGTGGGGAGAGCCCTGGTCCCCTTGTAGGGGACACTGACTCCCTGGAAGCAGGAGCTGAGGCTGCAGAGCTGGGGCAGAGCCCTGACACTGTGAGCACTGCAGGGGGACATGCAAGGACAGGACAGGCTGGACACCAGCTCTGAGAAGAGCCTGGAGGAGACTGTGTGGGGCAGGGAGACCTTTCCAGGCAGATCCTGTAAGAGCCTGTCCTTAACTGCCAGTTTGAACCATAAAATGCAGACATCCAGTCTGGACTCAAGGGTGTCTGTCTGGAGACTGATTTTCCTTGGGCTGGGACAAGGAGGGACTGGGGGCTCTGAACTCGGAGGATCAGGATGCACATGACAGAGTGGAGGCAACTTTAATTTCCCTGTGAGCTGCACCAAGCCTTCCCCCTGCTGCAGGACAGCCCATTCCCTGTTCAGGGGATGCTTTCTGCAGGTTCCACCCTCACTTGATGCTCTGTAGCCTGTTGAATTCATGACTTTGGATGGCCGGTGGGGAAGTAGTTTGGTCACAGCAGAGGACAGAGCAGTTCCAGCTGCCTGTCTGAGCACTGCAGTGACACTGTGTGTGCTCAGCAGCCCTGCTGGAGCCCCAGATTTAAGCAGAAATTGGGGGATCCCTGGCAGGCCTTGTCAGGACACCCCACCCCTTCCCAACATCCCTGACTTGACCCCAGGGGTTTGTCCCGCTGTGTCTGAGCACCCAACTGGCAGGGGATAAAAAAATCCTTCAGAAAAGGGAGATGAAGTGATGGCAGGAGGGCAGGGGAGTGTTTTGACAGTTCCTGCTGCAGAGCTGGCTCAAAGCTCTTGCACAGGCAAAGCAAAGGGGCAGGACCTGCCCTCTCTGCTCTTCCCGAGGGAAAAGCATTGGAGTAGGGATCTTGCTCCTGCTGTCCCAGGGAGGATGAGAAGAGCACAGAGGATTGCTTTTCCCATTCAGTTTGGTTGTTGCTGTTGGCACCAGATCACAAATTCTCTCTTAGAAGAGAGGAGAATTTGATGTCTGTCTCTCCTGGGCTGTGCCCCAGGCCGTGCGCAGGATGCTTTGCCCTTGGTGACAGCCTGTTGGAGGTGCTGGCAGGCAGTTCTTGCACAAGGAATGCTAATCCAGGGATTTGTGTGACCTCCTGCATCCCTCCCCCATTCTTGTGATGCAGCCAAACTTCTGTCAAGCCCTGCTGGGAGGGGGGCACCAGCAGCTCCTGGTCTGGAGGGATCCAAGCACAGACAGCACTGTCCTGCTGCCCTGGAGCAGATCACAGAATGTGCTGAGCTGGAAGGGACCCACAAGGATCATCCAGTCCAACCCTCAGCCCTGCACAGGTCCAGCCCCAAGAGTCCCACCCCGTGCCCCAGAGGATCATCCAAACCCTCCTGGAGCTCTGGCAGCCTTGGGGCTGTGCCCACTGCCCTGGGGAGCCTGGGCAGTGCCCAACCAGCCTCTGGGGGAAGAACCTTTGCCTGAGATCCAACCTGAGCCTGCCCTGACACAGCTCCAGCCATTCCCTGGGTGCTGTCCCTGGTCCCCCCAGAGCAGAGCTCAGTCCCTGTCCCTCCTCTGCCCCTGCCCAGGCAGTTGTGACTGCAGTGAGGTCTCCCCTCAGTCTCTCTCAACCCCTGGTTGATGGCACGGTGAGAAGCCAAACCCAGGCTGGGAAGGGATCATACCCTGCCTGGTTGGAGACCTGTGTCAGCACAAGCCTTGCTCTGACAGGTCCTGGGCTCGGGGCTGGGGGGATCTTCCGGCTGTGTGGGCTGATAATTAATCTTAGCAGGGCATCCTTGCCAGCTGGAGCTCCCACCAAGGGATGCTGGGCAGCTCGGCATCTTCCCGGCCTTTCCAGCATCAGCTGCTGTTTCTGGATGACTTTTTTAGTGTAGCAGTGAACATATTGCAGTGTTCCCCTAGGGCTGGGGCCCTGGAACAGCTGATGTCTGCTTTGGAAAGCAGCAGTGACCTGCCGAGGTCTGCAGGTCGCTTTAAGTTTGGATTTCAGCTCAGGATTCGGGGTGAGTGAGGCTGCTCTGCCGGGCAGAGCGTGGCACTGCGGGCTGGGGCTGCTCCGGGGAGACACGCGGAGCTCCTCGGGATGCTGCAGGCACTGAGCGCTCCACAGACCTGTTTGAGCATGAAAAATTAAAAAGGAACCCACCCCTAGATGTCAGGAGTTGGAAACCTGAGCAGAAGCTACTAGAACGGAACCTCATCGTTTTTAACTCGCCTGGAAGGCCGCGGTGAGCGGCAGGAGCGGTTTAACAGCGCTGCCTGCTGGAGCCTCCCCGGCAGGGAAAGGCATTTCGTGCCCAGGCTTTTCCAGCCCTTGGACACTTTTGCAGTTTAAATCTTCCTTCTCCCTCGTCTGCTCTGTGTGTAAATCTCAGCTACTCGGGCCAGGCTGACGGGGATGGAGTGTTTTCACCGTTATTTTTTCTCTTGAGCCGTGTTTGGAGCAGTGGGTGCGACTGAGAGCTGCTCTGGGTGCTGCCCTGAAACCCCCCTCCCAGAACTCCCGTGCCCGCTGGGATCTCAGGGGAATTAAAGGAATTCCTGTTTTGCTGGGGAGGCACGATGCTGCTTTTGGGGCATTTTTGGAGCTGGGGAGGTGGGATGTCAGTTCTGAGGGTGATCCATGAGGCAACAGGTCCAGCTTTCTGCTGTTCCCATACCCACTAAACCGGAGACTTTTGGGACAGACTGAACCCTTGGGACAGGTTTAACCCTTGGGATAGATTTAACCATTGCCAATTGTCCTTGTCGACAGCGCACTGAGCAGAAAACGTGTGGAGCTGCCACAAACACTGGAGTTAAGATGTAAATTTGTTTACTGGACTTAAGGGTCACAATTTTTGTTTGCCAAGTCACCCCAGGTGTGTTCTGCCTTCCAAGGACAGCTCAGGTGCTGCCCCACGAGCAGGGTGGGCAGTGAGCATGGGGGGGTTCCTGTGGGGGTAGAACACAGGGAGCTGGCAGCCTTTGCAAGGTCCCCTGTTCCTGGGGTCAGAGGCATTGGGCTGCTCAGCTTCAGGTGAGACCTTACAAGGGCATCAGCGTTCAGGTGGGTGTGCATCAATAAGCAGATCTGGATGTAAAGTTAAGATTTGGGAGCAAATATTTCGGCAGCCCCTCTGTGCTCACAAAGGTCCCTGGGGCAGAGGCTGCGTGTCACCCCGTGTCACCCCGTGTCACCCCATGTCACCCCGTGTCACCCCGTGTCACCCCATGTCACTCTGTGTCCCACGGGCTCCACATGCCCTCCCAGGACAGCAGCACTAGGCTGTTTCTACTCCTGGCAGCAGTTCTAAAGACCATAACATTTACTGGATGAAAACACTATCAGAAGTCCTCCTCACAATGCTAAAAACCTTTGAAATTCCCTTCCTTTAATCACCTTTTTTGCTATTAATTAACTCTGACCACTGTTACTGTGGTGCCCAGAACCCCTCCTGCCAGCCCCGGGGGCCAAGGTGGCTGTACCATCTGTTTGTCCTCACTTCATCTGCCTTGTGCCTCCTGTGCCAGGGCCAAGCTGCTTCTCCTTGTGCTGTCGTGCTGGGTGAGAGGAAAGGGAGGCTCAAACAGCCCAGGCTGGTTTATTTGTTGTTACGAAGTAGCCATGGTTTAACTGCACAGATAAGCCCCAGCCTTGGCACACGGATTCAAAGTCACCTCCTTCATCCCAAGCTGCCTGCCAGCAGCCTTCCAAAGAAGGGCTCCAAACTGGCTTCTCCTGTTTTGTTTTTTTTTGAATACACTTAATTAACGAGGCAGAGGCAAAAATACACAACAAACACACCGGAGTAGTTTTTAACCTGGCTTGATTAATGCTGTCAAGTTGCACATCTGAGATCTGAGTGTGAGCTCAGTGGGACTGTTGCTTTTGTTTAATACCACAAGACACCTCAGTCTGGATTGTTGCATTACAGTACAAATAAAAAACAGAAACAAAACCACATCTGCATCATACAAGGTGAGAAGAATATGAGAATTCTAAATATTTACAGAGAAGGGCAAGTGGGGAAAACCACAAAAAATATTTACATAAAAATACATGAGCTTGTCAGCATATACATTTTACACCAGTTCACAAAAAAAGACACTATATAAATTAAAGTGAAGGGAACTCCAAAGGTAACCCAAGACTTTCTGGGATGTTTCTCTCATGCGGCTTAGGGAAAGAAAAATCAAGTCTTCTACAGCAGGAAAATGAAACGGCAAAACAACCCTTTTCTCCCCCCCTCCCTCCCCCCAACTGGACGAGGCAGCACTCTGCACACCAGGAACTGGACATTGCTCACACCAGACCATGCCTTTCACACGGGAATCTGGGAAAAGCTCTCGGAAGAGGTGCATGCCCAAGCTGCCAAGAGCGAAAGGAAGGGAAATGACTTCTCATCCAGGTTTCCTGACATGTAACATCACTTCAGTCCATGCCCTGGGCAGTGGCAGAGCACACTTGAGGTTCTGTCCCTTTCTGGGGTGAAAGAGGAACAGGATGTTTTCAAGTTGGTTTTGGTTTTGTGTAGCAACTTACTACCACTGTGCAATCCTTACTGACCCTCCTCCCACGACGAGTGGAAAAGGAGGATCACTGCCAAAGACATAGGCACGAGGTTGTGGGGCTGTTCTCATAGATGCATAAAGGTTTTACCTGATAAGACTTCTTAAAAATCAGAAATTAATGCTTTATTTAAGACTTCACAGGGGCTGGGCCCTCATTACTCACCCAGTGTCTGCACTCCCCCTTCCCAAGGAAGGCCCCCTAACCCTAACCCACTCCAAAGCAGAGGTTTGAGGAGGAAAATCCAGAGTTGGGGGCTCTGTTGGCCCCAAACTCCTGTGTGCACTGGGGAGGACCTGGGCTGGACACTTGGGAAGGGGCAATTCCAGATGCAGTCTATGGCAAATGTCAGGAATCAGAGGGTCAGAGCTGCCATCGCCTCACTGAAGGTGTGCTCAGGCCAGGAATCACTGAGCCTGAGCAGACCTGCTCTTGGATTCCAGGGTTATTTGCATTGCTGTCCCCTTGCTCTCTCCCATCCTCATCTGGGACACTGAAATGTCACCTCCCCCCAGCTCACCCCCCTCAGACACCCAGTGTCACCCCCTCCTCGCTCTGATGCACAACACACCCTTTTCAATCTCCCCTCTGATCTTTGGAAAGATACAGCTGATGTTTTATCATGAACCAATCATAAGGATGTAAAACTCAGATCTCTAAGGACCACCAGGCCAAGCCCAGTGCAGGAGCAGAACTGAAGAGTTCCCTCTATGGCTTTGGGGGCTGTGGGGTCATGCGGGATGTTGAAGCCATGGGCAGCAGCAACACGAAAAGGAAGGTGCTGGTCTGTGTTATCTGGGAAAAGCTGGTGCCTTCACCTTTTTTAATTCTGTTGAATTAGCTGGATTGGTTCAGCACTGGTGGACACACGTTGGGGTTCTCAGAGAGCTTCCAGCCCTCAGAGCACAGCCCAGAGGGAGGGGAGGACAGCTGGGTGCTCACTTCTCTGCTGGCTTTTTTTCCTGGAGACCTTCTTGTTCCCAAGAAGGCTGTTTGCAGCAGCCATCCACGTCAGGTGTGCACTTCCAGAAGCCCTTTTGGAAAGGTGCTGAAAGCTTTGTTTCCCATGGGACGAGTGGGTGCTTCGCCCCTGGCACTTCCCACAATGTGGGAGAGCCCCGGCAGGGCTGGGACAGCACAGGGCAGGGGAGCACAGGGCTGGGAACAGCACAGAGCTGGGGGAGCACAGGGCTGGGACAGCACAGAGCTGGGGACAGCACAGAGCTGGGGACAGCAGCTGTCCGAGGACGGCACTTGGTCTCTGAGACAGTGGCTTCAAGCAGGAGAATCCAGAGGCATTTACCCTTAGTGGGAGCTGGCATCAGGCCCCCAGAGTTACAGGATAGTCCTGGTGAACATAAGGCCAAAATCAGGGCATCAGGAGAGTGCTGAGGGGCAGGAGGGGGAGTTAAGGCTTTCATGGAGAGAGAGGTTCAACCTACAGCTCTCATTCCCTGAATCCCAAAGAGCCTGAACCAAACACTTCAGCTGGAGACCTCACAGGTCACTGGCAGTTGAGGAGAGACTGAGCTACCACACACCCTGCTGAGAGCACGGACTCATCTGGCTCATCCCAAGGAACCCAGGCAGGGCAGCCTTTCCCAGGGAGTTCCCAGCAATGGAGTCAGGCTGGCTCAGGCCATGGCTCACCTAACGGCCCCTTCTGTGTACTTCTGTTAGTTTTCCTTGAAAGAAAACATTGCAAAAAGCATTCCCTCACCAAAAACCCCAACCCCTCTACCTGGGAATTCCTCACAAGGAGATTGTGGTACCCTGGATCACAGTGCTGCTTTTTTTCTCCTTTTTTCCGCTTTCTTTTTTTCTTTCTTTTTTTTTGTTACTGCCAAATTTCATTTCATAACATGTGAGAACTCTTCTAAACAAAATGCTTAAAACATCAGCATTGCACAATAAAACAGAACCTGAAGGTAGTTACCGAAACAGCCCCAGACAAGGCTCCAAGGTTAAAAGAAGCAAACAGTTACAGACTAGTCAGCTACTAGAAGCAGGTTTTCCTTAGGATTTAAAAGTCCCAAAATAGCCATGAAACTTTTTTGTTCAAAAACACCACCTAAGCTCCCTTTAGCAGCTGTGTGCTAACTGCAGGACCTCCAGGCTTTTAATAAAACATTAGATTCAAAACAGGTAGAGAAGTTCTTCAACCACACAGAACAGGAATGGCCTTGGAATTTATCAGTGAACATTTAAAAACTTGTAAATCTCAAGTATTGCTTGTAAGCCCTGCCTAAATGGGATGGATGTGCTTAATTTATGGGGGGGGAAAAGTCCTGGGAGTCCTGGGAAGTCTGAGAGGAAGCATGAGGTGCTGCCCGGCTGCTTTTACAGTGTGAAAGCTTTTAAACAGCTTGGACACTGTTATTAGTGTGTTCTGCAGTGCACTGGCCTTCTGTCCCTTCTCACTGAGCACTGGGAGGAGCTGCACTGGGGGATGGGAGGCAACACACAGCACAGACAGCACGTCACTGCTCTGTGTGTGCCACAATTCCACAGGGATCCCTTTGCCAACACGGAACTGAGAGGTCACAGAGCCCACAGACCTTCAGGGGAAGGTCAGCAGGAGCATTCCCTGCTGAAAGAGCTGCAGGATCTGGCCCAGGGCAGCTGCTCATGCAGATAACTCGTCACTCCCACAGCTGGGAGTGACTCTGATTTACAGGCTGGACATAATGCCATGGAGATTTCTGTATTTATTTTTACTGGGCCTGGCCAGCCACAAGATGAAATGAGCTCATCTGGACACAGAGAGCCCAGCAGCAAGGAGGAACTGGCATGGGATGGTTGTGCTGTTCCCAGCTGCCTGTGTAGGGTTTGGTGTAGTTTCATGTTTCCTTTCTTTTGGTGTGAGAAATGCAAACCTGCCCTACTTGGCTCCCGTCGCTGGCCTCTGCTTCCAACACAGAAATGTAAAGTAATTGGATTTCTTGCAGGCAGAAGCAGCTCCTTAAGCAAGCAATGCAACAAGTGTGCTGTGTTCTGAACTTGCTTCAGAGCCTATTCCACAGCCTTGAAGTCAAAACAGGCTCCCACCCACTTCAAAGCAACTGCAGTGGGTCCACTGCACACGAGGGAGAGGCAGGACCTCAGCATCAACCAAGGAGAAAACCCTTGGGCAGTCTTTCCCCCTGCCCAGCTGTTGGCCTACTCTTGCTGTGTAACTCAGAGGGGGCAGAACAGTGTCGTGGAGCCCCTTTCCTGGGAGCCAGCAGCAGGAAGGGCACTCAGCCTGGAGAAGAGCTGCACGCACAGTCCATTGTGCGGGGAAGGAGCGGCGGCCACTGCCAACATCACGCCTGGGGAAGGACAAACTCCTTCCCTCCCTGCCAACAGCACCTCTCTCAGCTCTGCCCGGCCTCTCTGGCAACATCTGTGTGCCAACAGCCTGCCCTGTCCTTCCAGTTGTCTCAAAACTACATGAAAAAGCTAGAGCTCTACTACATAAAAACAGTGAGTGGGGGGTGGGGGCTGAAGGGGCTTTGCTTTCTCATCGGGGCAGGGTCGGGGTTTGGTTTGTTTTTTCCATCACTGAAAAAATAAAACAGTCCACTGTCCAGCAGAGGCTGCTTAGACTCTATCCCTCCTCCCCCCCACCAGCTCACTCGACGTGGACCTCTGTCTCGGGCCTCTGCAGGCACAGCTCGGAGGGCAGGAAGGCGCCCTGCCCCAGCGCCGTGGCGTAAGTCCTGCTGTGCACGTGGGTGAACCCGGGGGGCACGAACCCCCCCGCTCCAGCATAGCCCCCTCTTTGGTGCTGAGGCATGGTATGGTAATCCTCCAGGTTGTCGTACTGGGACACCACAGTCATAGTGCTTTGGCGCTTGCCCAGGGTCTGGTAGGGGTACAGCAGGGCAGAGTCCCTCTCCATGGGCTCGGGGTGCTGCATCCGCAGGCTGTGGCTCCGCTCGGGTTTGGGCGGCGGGGCCACGGGAGGGGCAGTGTGTTCCTCCTCCTTGTAGCAGTCTCTGGAGTGCTTCTCCACGGGGGCAGGAGGTCTGGCTCGGGACCTCTCCACGTCTGGCCTGTCCTCTGCCAGCCTCCCCTCCTTGTGGTTCAGCCTCAGGGTGTCCTGGCTGGCCGGGATGTACTTGCTGCCCGAGTGCTGGTAGCCCACGGGCTCGGAGGGCTCTGGGCCCCCTTTGGGCCTGTAGTCGGGGTAGGGAGGCCCATTTTTGGGCTCGGCAGGCTGCCTATGGCTCGCTTCCTGCTGCAAGTGCGTCCTGTGCTCGCTGGTGCTGCCGCCCTGCTCGTGCATCTTCCTGTTCCGGATGCTGCTCTGCTTCTGGGGCAGGGACGGCTTCTCGGGCTGCCCGTTCCCATAGCCCCCGTGGTAGTGGGCTCTGTCCAGCTCGGGCTCCGGGTGCTGCAGGTAGTACCGCTCGTCCCCCTCGGGGGTGGCCGCCTTGCCCGGGTACCTCCCCTCCTTGCCCTCCGCCACCGTGAGGAGGCCAGTTTTCCCAGGATCGGATTTGCTGCGCAGGTGGATGGCGTCCAGCCCCCCCAGCTCGTCCTGCAGCAGCGGGGCCACATTGTCGTACTGGGACATGAGGGGCCCCTTGACCTTCTGGCGTGAGCGGCTCTCCCTGCGGATGGACTGCATGCGGTACTTCTCCATGTCCTCCAGGTCCCACGACATGTACATGTGCTTGATGTCTGGGGCGGGGGGCACGTCCCTGCTGACGAAGCTGTGCTCCTTCCCCGCCAGGTGGTTGATGAGCCCCCCCCCGGGGGTAGGAGGCCAGGCTGGGGTAGCGGTACAGCCCCTTGCTCTGCAGCCGCGCCGCGTACGAGGAGAAGTCGCGGCCGGGCAGGGGGTGGAAGGGCCGCACCCGCACGGTGCTGTAGGGATCCAGGTCGTAGAAGCCGCCGTCGGCAGTGGTGTAGTAGGAAGAGGAGCTGGAGTAGGGGCTGTAGCGGTAGTGGACCCGCCCGTTCTCGAAGTAAGGCTGGAGCTGCGTGACGTGGTAGTCGGAGTGGGGCTGGTATGGCTTGTACTGGTAGAGGGGCCGCGGGCAGTACAGGGGCTCGTCGTCCGGGGGCACCTCGGTGCGGGAGATGGGCACGGAGCGGATGGCGGCGGCGGCGGCGGGGGTGGGCACGTGCAGGGACTGCACCCTGCGGATGGTGGGGTAGGGGGGAGCGTCCTCGGCGTAGCCGGCGCTCCGCAGCCCCGTGGGGCTCACCGAGGACACGAACTCCGTACGGCTGCGGGGCTTGGAGTGCAGGGCTGGGCCGGCCTTGCCCTGGGTGCCGTAGGTGTTGTAGCGGGTGCCCGCCGAGCCGGGGGTGTCCGAACGGGGCGGGTAGGCCTGGTGGGGCTCGGGCTTGCCATGGTACACGTGGGGGGGGACGCTCTCGGGCCTGTACTGGTGCATGGAGGCCGGCTTGGGGTGCAGGTACGGGTCCGGCCCCGAGGGCTCGGGGATGCTCTCGGGCTTGGGGTGGGGCACGTACACGGTGTGCTTGGGCGGGGGCGGCGGCGGGGGCGGCAGCAGCGCCTCCTCCACCGAGGAGGCCAGCATGGAGGAGGCCAGAAAGGCATGGTAGTTGGTGTTGCTGAGGGGGTCGGCGCTGTTGGAGTGCATGGCCGCCGCGATCTTGCTCTCCAGCGTCCTCACGGGCGGCACCGGGGGCGCGAATCCATAGGAGGGGTGGGACGGGACAGACTCGGAGCGCAGGTGCAGTGGGGGGGCCCTCGTGGGCTCCCGGGGCTTCTCCACGTGGCTCTGGGGGCCCCCGGGCACCGAGGAGGAGCCGCGGGCGGTGGAATTGCTCTCTGAGACAAAGCCAGGCTCTGGGGGCTTCTCAGGGGCAGTGATGTTCCACACCTGCAGGGAGGAAAGCAGCACAAGTCAGGGACAGGCAGCTTTTCCCCCCCCTGTTCAGCAGTTAAAATATCACAGACACTCGTATGGGTCAGCCCAATTTCAGTGCTTCTGTGTCTGGTTCCCACTGGCTGTGGAAGGAGAGATGTGCAGCTTCCCTCTCTCAGCAAGGGCAGCGTAGTGCCACTGGCAGTTTGGATCCATCACAACTGGTGTGTTCTGCCAATGCCAAAGCACAGGAAGGGGAGGAGGTGGCTGCCTCTTTACCCACTGCCCCCAGTGTTTTGTTACATGCTCTGCTTTTAAATGTATCATCTTAATGAAAATGTACCTGAGTTTGGCCTCCTCAGGCTCTGGTGAGCAGATGACACCGTGTAACAGAGCAGAAATTCCTGCCCTAAATGTGCCTACAGAGCTTAGGTCAAGTTGAAGCTGGAAACACTTCATGGGCTGAGGTGGTTTGGATTTCTGAGGGAACACTGCACAAGGAATCTGACCTGCTCTGTTAAACAGAATAACTGAGGTTGGAAAGGACCTCAGAGATCATCAAGTTCAATCTTTGACCGACTCCTACCTTGTCCCCCAGCCCAGAGCACTGAGTGCCACGTCCAGTTGCTCCTTGAACACTTCCAGGGATAGGGACTCCACCACCTCCCTGGGCAGCCCCTTCCACCTTCTAGTCACTCTTTCCATGAAATGTCCAATCTAAGCTGCATGAGGGAAGGTCTAAGACTATGTCCCTCTTGTGCTATCACTAGTTGGACAAGATCCTACACAGGATGTTGGAAAAGGATATTGTCAGAGGATGCAAAAATCTGTTTCTGAGCACATCAGTCACCACTCCTTTAAACCAAGGAGACTGGGTATACTGGGATGCCCACTTAGGAAAGCAGCACAGGATCTCCTCTAAGGCTGTGTCTGCGTTGTACCCACATCCCTTCCAGTGACCTGTGAACCCCCCTTGTTGGGGGCCCGACTTTCCCAGAGCTCCCCCCCTGCAGTTACAGCCCAGCTGTGCCCGGACCAGGACGTACCTGAGCAGAGCTGCTCGGAGCTTTGCTGGAGGCTGCTGGCACTTGTCCCGTCGCTGCCTGGTGGTCCTGCCTCTGTGCCGGGGTGGGTTGGGTGGCTGTGGCTGTGCGTGGCACGGCTGGGACGGTGCCATCCCCCTGCGAGGGCTCGGCGGCTGCGCTGGGGATGGTGGTTAAATACGGCACCGGGGCGCCTTTGTCCCCGGCAGGGACCACGGGAGGAGATGGCAGTTTGTCCTCGGTCGTGCAGATGGGAGTGTGGAGCTTGTCCCCAGATAGGCATGCCCGGAGCTGGGGTCTGTCCACAGCCGGCTCTGGGGCGGGCGGTTCCCGCTCTGGGGCGTGGTGGGCCGTGTGCTCCCAGTCCCCTGTGTGCGCGGGGAAGTGTTCACTGTCCCCCGCCTTGCCAGGATGGAAGCTGGCCTGCTCCTGCTCTGCATCTCTGCTCCCAGGCATGTCCCCAGGCATGCCCGTGTGGAGAGGCAGGGGGTCCTGGCCTCCAGGTGCACCAGGTGGGTGGTTCTGCTCCCCGGCTGTGCCGCTACCTTGGAATTCCTGCTCTACGGGAGCACCGGTCTGGAAGTGGAGTCGGTTCTCGGGCAGACCGGTGTACAGGTGGAGCTTGTCTGGAGCACCAGCAGAGAGATGGAGCTTTTCTAGAGCTGTGCCAGCTTCAGCCTCTCCATAATTTGTGCTTTCAGCATGAGCATCTCCTGGCCTTTTGAGGGACTGGGCGGATGCTTGCTGTGCGGACTCGGCTAACGCTAGGGCCAGCATGCGCGCTGCGTTTTTCGGAGGAGGAGGAGGGATAAGAGACACAGAACTGACGGGAACAGGATCCTGGGGGGAGTCGAGGGCAACTGCTCCTAATGGGGGAAAATTGAGAGAGAGAGTGATTTTATGTTACCCAATAAGGAGAGTGACCTTAACCTTAAAGACTATCATAAAAAAATAGATGCTCTCCACGCTTTCACAGTGGCAGTTCCTTCTGGGGTGAAACACTTGTGTCTCACACGCAAACGCTGCTCAACGGCACAGCAGTTCATCACAAAGAGGAAAAAAACACAAGAGATTGTCTAAAGGCTCCTCTTGCCTTTCTAGAGAGGTAGGGAGGAGGTAGCAGAGACTGAGATACCCTTAAACAATTTTGATCATAAGGTTTTAGGCGAAAAGGTCCCTTCTTCCAGTGTTGGCAGATTTTTAATTTAAAAAAGAAAAGCCTTAGATGGTCAATTGGCTGAAATGATTGAGAAGGACATGCTAGAGACTTTCACGCATGACAGGATGGGGAAAAAAAAAGTGGCATATAAAGCATTATGGAAAATTATCCGAGATTTGTGTGATGTAGGGAGAAGGCAGAGGTGAAGACCCTATTGATCTGCACAGCCCTGCAAGACACTCGTGATCAGAACTGATGGGCAAATCCCCTCTCCTAAAAGGCACGCAGAGGAGGGCGGTTCTGAGAGCAGGTCCCCTCGGGAACTTAAAGAAAGAACGGAGGAAAATGCACTGTACCTGGCTGTGTGTGTCCAGTGGGTACAGTCTTAGTCTGACTGCTTGGCATGGGTCTCTCTCCTTCTTCTGGCAGCTCTGGCTTGCCAGTAGCCACTAGCTGGGAATGCTGCAGCTCTTGGTGGGCTCCTTCCCCTGCTCCTGTTTCACTGCTTTTCAGGGGCAAGGACATCTGGGTTGGGGACCTGTTTGTGATCTCAGTGATGCCAATGCCTTTGTTCCAGCTGGAAGCAGAGGAGTTCCTGGATGTGATGGGCACTGCTCCAATGGCTTCTGGCCCACGGCTGGGCAGGGCAAAGCAGGTGGGCTCTGCAGTCAGTGGTGGAGATTTGATGGGTTTTCGGCCTGTCTTGGGTGAGAAGGTGAGGGGTTTGCAGGGCTGCTCCTCTGTGGGGCTCAGGTCCAGTGTAAAGAAGGGACTCATCTTCTCCTGGAAAGGGGAGACTGGCTCAGAGCTCGTGGCACTGCCTGGGGTCTGGGACTGGCTGCCCGACTCTAAATCCTTCTTTAGCAGGCTTGGCTTGTCCCTATTGATATCAACTGACTCCAGCAGGGAGGTGCTGCTGTCCAGGCACTCGGACTCTGCCTGGGGGGGGCTGCACTGGAAGGACATGGGGTCAAAGTCCAGGCTGGCGACTCCAATGTCCGGGGGGCTCAGGTCGACGTCCTCGGAGGAGCGAGGGGAGATGAGGGCAGGGACGTGGATGAGCCCCTCGTCCCCGTCGCTGTCATCATGGGGAAGGTTGTCATAGGAGTTGCAGCGGTTCATGTTCCCCAGGAGCTCCCCATTGAAGGAAGCAGAGAGGGCATCGCTGCTGGACCTGGGCCTTCGGGGCCGGAACAGTTTGGATTCACCTGGGAACGAGGAGATACCTGTGGGTTAGGGACAAAATCCTGCTGTCCAGGAGGCCAGGGCCTGGTGGGGGTGTTAAAGCTCAGCTGGTGAGCCCTGCACACAGAAGTGACATTGTCATCAGTAACTGTTTATCACGTTTGTTTAAACTCTTTTACAGCAGTTCCAGGTCTGATTTAGTTGAAACTAAGCTGTGTGTACAAGCAAAACCAGTTTAAATGTGCTGTAGGCCTAAGGCTTTCTCAGAGAGCATTTTCCTTCATGATGATGCCTTGTCAACCTTGGAATAGAAAGGGGAGGTGGCAAGGCAGGAACATAGGCAGTGCCAGCTACACCAAAGCAAGAGGTTTGGTTTTTTTACCTCAAAAGGAAGAAAAGGCATGAAGAGCATTTCTGTGACACCCATCTGTGTTGGGCAGCTTTGTTAATTAGCAAGTCCACCTTTCCCTGAAGGGGTGGAAAAGCTGCCCTGTGGCATATCTGTGCCCAGGAATGTCAGCCTGCCTTCTTTAATCGACATTTATTAGAAGTGCAGGTGGGATTGTGCCTTACCATCCACGGCGTGCAGAGAGGTGAGAGACTCCTCACTTTTAGCTGAGCGCAGGGTCCCGCTGTCTCCTCGTCCACCTGAGGGAAGGAATCCACAGGGAAAGGCTGAGTTGTGACAGTGCTTTATATCTGGTTGTGTAATGATGGCAGGAAAAACACACTCAGGTTTCCAGCAACAGTGTCCTGAGAGTAGTTTTGTTTTGGGGATGGGTTTCTGATGCTCATTTTAGAGTCCTGGGAAAGGTGACCCACTCAAATTGTACCTGCTGTAGGTGACAGGTCAGGAAACATCTCTCCACATCATCCTCCTACAGACTCGGGATGTACCTGTGGTAATTGGCTGGCTCCTGCCAGCAAGGAAACCCCCTCAAAAATGGGGAAGAAAATAACATTTTCACAACTTGTTTTATGGGCACTGAACAAGCACAACTTCAGTCTCCAAGGAGACAGTTCCAAAGGGCATTTATGGTGTGTGAGGGTTATAATTTGAAAACGGGACCTGAGAGAAGATGGGATAAAAGTTCTCACTGGCCCACGTTTTGGGATTTCTGGTGTGTTTTACCTCAAAAACACACTGTTGCTATTTTTAAATTTGGAGAAAGGCAGAAAATTATACATAGAAAAGGCTGAGGATTCAGCCCACATATCCTGGCTGTGGCTACAAAGGGTTCTCGGATGTGTTCTCATTACACTGGTAGAGAGAGTGTTTGTAGGAAGGTGCCTTTCCCTAATCTAATCTTCTGGGAGCAGCAAAGGGAGCCAAAGCTGTACTCTCATTTTATAATCAGAGTGTCAGAAGGAATTATTCTGAGACTTATTGGAGCAGCACCCACATATTGTCATTCCAAAGCCACAGAGGTGTGAGCTCTGTCAGGCTCTGGAGCTGCCCGAGATCCATTCGGGAAAGAGCAGCTCCCTGGAGTGTCATGCCTGGCTTGGACGCTAGAAGGAGATAAAAGCACGCTGAATGTGTGCTGTTCAAGCCCAGATTTTGGGAGGGGACTGCAGCTCACCTGCCAGGGCTATGGCTTTCATCTCCGAGGGCTCGCTGGGGTTGCGCTGCAGTTTGCGCTTGGACACAGAGGAGGATTTGCCCAGGTTGAAGAAGGATCTCCAGCTGCCCACTGGAGACTTCTTCATCTTGCTGGGAGGCCTTTTTCTGGGGGAGCAAACAGAGCACACAGTTGGAGAGGGAAGCTGCATCTAAATCCTGCTACTCGTTGCTTGTTATTAGCACTCTGGTTTCTGCTTAGAAACTCCCTCTTCTCAACAGCTGAGGGTGTTTTCATTCCTACAGCTCAGCCCTGCAGTCTTGCTGGATGAATTCCACCCAACTCTGGGATGCAGGTGCAGTGCAGGGGAGCAAAGGCTCCTGCCTCTGCAGCACAGCAGCTGAGGGACGGATTTCCAGCTCTCTGGGGAGCTGTGCGGCCATAAAGGCACCCAAAAAGGGTACCCATAGAGGCACCTCACTCGTGCTGTAAAATCACCTTCACCTCCTCCCACTGCCACTTCTAGTGTCATCAAGCCCGTGCAACTGCTCCACTGCAACCTGGAGATGTTACAGACACTTAGTCCTGAAACACCCCTATGTCTCCATGCGGTCACTCTGTTTACACCTCCTTCTGTGTGACTGGTACAGTCATCTCTGTGCACCAACACAACATGGATGTATACATTTAATGATAACCCTGCTAGAAAGAAGGGAGTGGTGCACAAATAAATTAAACCCACGAGCCCGTTGTTATAATAAGCTGAATCCTCACAGAGTCCAAAGCAGGTGGAAAAACAGCTACAATATTTCACTTGTGACCAGTCAGTATCAGCAAGTTTTTGCTGTAATCAAAACAAACCAGTTACAACATGTGCTGGGAAGAAACTTGTCCCTACCTTTCGGATGGGAAGTCTATGACTGTGTGGAATTTGCCCTGCAAAGCTGCTGGGCCCTCTCCCACTTCTATGTACTTGCTGTCTGCCACGATGGGAGAGTTGATCTGGGCCTGTGTCCGAGCCTGTGCCTCCTCCAGCGTGAGCAGCTTTGTGGAGGGAGAGGACACCAGCAGAGACTTGGGCCGGGACAAAGAGCTGTGCCCTGCAAGGGAAAAACCACAGGCAAGAGGGAGAGTCAGAAAACAGCAGTGCAGAGATCAAAGCTCAGTCTGTGTGCCTAGGGAGGTGCTGTGTTTTTCTAAACCTTTGTTATCCCAACCACTGAAAGACGTGGACAAAATGTGGTCAGAGATATGTTTGTGACAAAAAGAATCTTTCACTGAGTAGCTTGGTGTATTAAAAAATGAAGGCAGAGGGAAGCAGGTAGATCAGAAACCTTTGTGACATACTTTACTTCAGCTTCATCTGTATAGAAAAGCCTGCACAGAAGGTTTTCCTTTGTACAAAGCCTGGCTGGGTCATTCCCCGGTTCCACCTCTTGTATAACAGGAAATGCCATATGTGACCAAAGCTCTGCAAACCACTGTGCAGATGCACAGAGCAAACAATCTGCTCTGTGTCCTGCCCTTGGCCTTTTACAGCTTGGGCTGGTTTGGGAGATGAACATATAAAGTTCTGTGCAAGTAGTTGCTGTTGCCTCCTGCTGCTGTCAGCTTCAGCATAGAGGAGATCACAGCAGCTGTCCTTTGCTTGCCATTGTTTATTGTGCAAGTGTTTACAGGGTTGCTCCCAGAGGAGTTCAGGGGTGTGGGGGGAATGTGCCATCGCAGAACATCCTGGTTGGTTCCACTCCCACGGCTCCTGGGGTGTGTGTGAGCTGTAAATGCTGTCCTGGGTGAACTGTGGGTTAAAGACAGGCTTGGTAGCACCACTTTCACCCCTCACAGGTGGGTGCAGGAGCTGTGCTCGATCCCAGAGGCTCCTGAAGCCGTGCTGGAGTGCAGTATTCCTGCTAAATATGCCAAATAACCAAACCCTTGTCCCTGCCAGTTTTGTGTCCAAGCCCACTGATTGTGAGTGACCAAGTCATTAAACAATTAGCTGAATTTACATGGTCCATTCTAAGCCTGGATAATCATCTGGCTGGGATTCTGAGCATGCTTATCTTCCCCTGGCAGAGCCTGCTGGGGGCTGTCACTGCTCAGCCAAACTAACCTCTGGCTCCTGCTGACCTAGAATCCCCTTCCAGGAGGAACAAAAGCTGGACAACTCTGCTGTCCTAAGTAGAAACATGGCTTGTTTAAAAGAGGGGAGCAGCAAATCCAGTGGAAAAGCAGCTCTCTGCACTGCCCAGGGGGTGGTGACTGTGTGGGCTGTGCGTGTCTCACGGGCAGGGCAGGTTGTCAAGGCAGATGGTGCACCCTTAATGCTGCTTAGGAGCAGCAACAGCTTGTGGTGGCCCTGTTTGTTGATCTAATACACAGAGGAAACCTCCTTCCTGGTGTAACTCTGCTCCTTTTTCATGGAACAGTGATATGGTCTTAAGTTACTCAAGGGAACTGTAGGTTCCAGGGCTGAATATGCCTCAGGTGCCCCAGGTTGGGCACAAACGTGTTGCAGTTCATGGCTGGTCAGTCCTGCTTGTGAACCCACACAGGTTGAGCTTCTGCAAGGAATAACCAGCACAGCAGATGGCAAAATAGCCCCTAGTAAGAGCAAGACAGTTTCTTAGCATCAACATTACTGAATACAGAGAGCTTGCTTTAATTCCTTAATTTCTACTGGTGTTCGGAGGTCCCTGGATAAATGCAGAGAGCTCAAATGGATAAGTATGCAGGAGCATCGATGGTGGTGGCTTTAAAAAGCAGAGGGAGCGGGGGGGGGCAGATAAAGGGACAAAGAGGAAGATAAGGAAGAAGGGGTCCCCAAGCTCCCCACCTCAATTTCCAGAGGGGTATGCCAGGGGGAGGATCTGGGGGGCAGATAACTCTGGGATTGGATGGGATAATACCTTAAATTGTGGAACCCCCTGGACACGTGTGGGCGTTTTTGTACCCCCGTGGTGGTTGAAGGCCTTCTGTTAAAACTGCTCTATTCTCTTACCTCTACGATAGTTGCCTGGTGAGTAATTTTTTGGCTCCTGACCAATTTTTTCAGGCAACAGTTTTTTGATCCCTTGCAATTTCTCAGTGGTAGGACACAAAAGCAGCAGCCAAACATTACTCTGTGCACTCCTGTGGGGCATCCTGGGCTTCTAAGAAAGGGACTGACAGTAATTTCTAAAACTAGGCCATATTTGTTGGGTTCTCACATCACAACCCAGGAAATGTGGAGATGTGTCCTCTAGGTCAGGAAAAACCCATATTTGAAATGTGCAGAGGAGGCTCAGATATCCACTGAGTGCCTTGTGTGCTCCAGGGCAGGGAGGGAGGGGGACACGCACCTGCCCCGTCCCGGATGACCGAGCTGAGCTTGGAGCTGAACAGAACATCCACGTGGTTCAGGATGAACTCCACCACCACCGACTGGATCCGCACCTCCATGAAGGCAGCGGTGCCACTGAAACAGGCTGACTCGATCTGCTTGGACCTGGGAAAGGAGAGACATGAACCAGGGACAGCCAGGGGGTGATGCTGCTCCTGGACAAGGGGCTGTGCCCGTGCTCAGGCAGACGAGGCTGCAGGGGCAGGCATGGATTAAATCCCAGCACAGTGCTACACAAAGGATCACACTGACTGCAGGGATTTAAAGGCAGAGTCTCAGTTTAGCTGCAAGTCTTACTAAATGGCAAAAGGAAAGCTGGACTAGAAGGGAAACGGGTGTGAGGCAGGTCTGGCTCGAGGTAAATAAACTGAATAGCCCAAATGGGGAGCTTTTTGTTAACTGCCAGGTACCATGGCTGGCACAGTTCAATGCCATTGCACAAACCTCACTGTGGCCTCTAATGGGATTTTCAGTCGAGCAGGGAAATGTCTCCAACTGATCTGATCAGAAAGTGCCCCAAGATTCACCAAAGCAATCTCAGACCTGAGATCACTTGACTGCCTGGGGGTGAATTGCCAGAAAGGGGAGAACAGCTCACCTGCATGAACTGGAAGTGTTCAATGCCACATTGGACGGGGCTTGGAGCAACCTGGGCTAGTGGAAGGTGTCCCTGCCCATGGCAGGGGGTGGGACTGGATGAGCTTTAAGGTCCCTCCCAACCCAAACTGAGATCTTATGTGAACTGCACACTCAGATTTCCCAGGTTGGTAACAAAAGCAGCTCAGAAATCAATAGAATAGAGAGCAGAGTGACATTATTTTTTTCTTTTAAAGTAAAATTTTTAAATAACACCATTAATTTTAAACTACCCTATTATGCACATTCAAAACAAATTTTAGGGGACAGATTTATCCAAGATTATTTCTGTAAGTTTGAATTCTTGCAGCCACAAGCTGTTAAATTAGACTCTAGAGACTTCTGCAGTGGGAAATCAGTGATGCCACTGAAGAAATTTCCTAGGATAATCAAGGACACACTCATCTCATCCAACCAGGAGAGGGGAAATTATCCTCTAGAGAAGAGGGTTGAGGGAATTCTTCCTTGCCACTACTGACTGAGCTGCAGTCAGTGGGACTGGGTCGTGTGAAACAGAATATACCAGGATGTTTTTGGGGTGGTCCCGCTGACAACAGCAGGGGCTGTTTTACATCACTAGCTCAGGAACGTGCCAGTTGGGTCTTAAATCCTGCTTAGAGTATTTTCCCATATTTTACAGGAGAAGAAGCACATTGGATGAAGAAAGGAAAAGCTCTTTCTAGCTGCTGGAAGTCAGTATTTTCCAGAGAAGAGCTATCTGTCTGGTTTTTATAAACATAAAGCCTTCTCTGCAGTGAAATGGGAAAAGCCCAGGGTACCTGAGGAGGTTGGGAGCCCAGACAATGGCCAGGTTCTTGGTGTGCATGTTTGTGATGGAGCAGTAATCAGCCAGACGAGCCAAGTGCCTCATTAGGAACTCCAGTGTCCTGGAAAACGGGAGAGAGGCAAATGTTCAGCACCACTGAGCAAAGCCAGGCTGTGATCCCAGAGCAAACCCAGCTCATTATTTCCTTTTGGTTTGACAGCTCCCAGAAAGAAACGCTGAACTCCCTCCCCTGAGCCCATGGGGAGTGTCTGCAGCAAACAGTGACCCGGGGTGGGCTGAGGGGAGTCCCCCCTCATCTGTCCAGGCTGAAGGCAATGACAGTCCCCAAAATATCCTCTTTGCAGGCGTGTGACAGCCCTGAGGAGCTTCTCAGGGGGAAGGATGTGGAATGCCAGTCCTGGGAAGAGGGGGAATAGTGATTTAGACACCCCAGGACATTGAAAACCAGCAAACTGTCCCTGAGTTCTACTGATAAAGTTACTGGCTGCAGGTTTGTTAGAGGTCCATGAGGCAGACACAAGGTTAAACTCCAGAGGCTTGTTTTCACAGAAAATGCCTTTTTATATATTAATGAAACACTGTTGTACCCCCTGGGGAGGAGGGAGCAGGAGGTGGCAATGAAAATGCTGATCCATCCTCCTCAGTGCCAGGGCTTGGCAACAGCCCTGGCTGTGTCTGTATCTCTGGTTTTGGGAGGGGAGATGGAGCAGAGGGGCTCAAAATTCCACAAATGGACAAGGACTGGAAGTGAAGACAGATGGGTCTGGCTGGGAAAAAAGCTGACATCTCCTGCCTGCAACTTCTCCTCGCTGAGCAGCACAATAAGAACATGTTTTTTCCTTTTCTGAAGCAAACTGAGGAAAGGAGGGAAGAGCCCTGTGCACCTCCAGCATCCCACTGCCAGGGCTTGGCTGGGCTTCCTCTCCAGGACTGAGACACGGATCAGCACCCACTTTAACCAGCCCATAAAGGAAAAGTCATTTTAGGGAAAAGGTGGAATGCTCCAGAGAAACCGAACCAAAGGAGATTAGTTTATTTTTGAGAAGGCCCTGCCCCCTTAATTAACACAAATAAAATATTGTAATTAGTTACTAAAAGTACCAGCTGTTCCACTAACTAGCCCATGTTATTTAATGAGCAAGCAGCACACAACTGCAGCTTATAACAATTAGTTAAATCTAGTTAACCATTATAATTAGTTATTTATAGCACTCAGGTGCAGCATTGCACTTGTCCAGCTAATCACCATACATCACAAGAATTGAAATGTAAATATTTATTAGCATCAATTATTATAAAAATTTATAATTATTTATTATTTTAAATAGTTCTCAATACCTATTTTTATGTGTTACAACTGGCCACCTATAGCACTGAGGGTACAGAATTCTAACTAGTCCTGCAAATTAACATATATTACAATAATCAATTGTAATTATAATGCAGTATTAGTTACCAATAGTTACTAACATTAAAGGCTCATTAACAGACAGTATTATATGCGGTTATTAAAACCAATCACCACAGCAATTTGTCTGATGCCTTTTTACCATACCCTGCCACAAATTTTAATACTAAAGACTGTTAAAATGTTGTTATTCTTCGTTAAGACTCATTACCATATAGCACAAATTACTATTAATACTAATTAGCTTGAATATAGCACTGTAACTGGTGATTTTTAAACACCCTATTATGTTATTCTAATATATAACACTAATATAATAATTTACATTAGTTATTCTAACAGACAACTGTTACTATTTGCTAGTTACTATTATTACTGGGAGAGGGAAACTGGAGACAAAATATATTCATTTTTTTGAAATATTTCACTTTTTTAAAGTATCATTCCTAGAGCTGGTTTTGTGCCCTCCCAGCAATAAAACTATTTTTTTTTATCAGCCACCTCTGACATACCAAGGTTGTATTTCTCTCCTGTACAGACTTTCCAAGGAAGTCAAGTAAGACCATGTACAGAATGTAGTGTTTGATAAGGAGCTGATTAAAATACAAAATCAACTTTATACAGCAGTTTCAATATGCAGAAACACATCTTGAGAGGGAAACTGGAATCCTGTTATTTCTGTCCCGAAATTCCAGCAAAGGAATGGCCCTCACCTGTAGTGGGGAGGGGGCAGCTGCTGGATCACATCGTGGATCTTCACCAGCCTCTCCTCATCCGTAGCAGCAGACACAGCATCCTGGAACGAGGCAGGGAGGGACTGAGCTGCAAGGAAAGCTGAAAACCTGCCCCTGGCACCACATGGCCAGTGAACAGTCCTTCAGCAGTGAGGTGGATTTTGCTGCTCTTCCCTCCCTTGGGTGAGGGGTCTGTCCTGGGGACAGAGCAGCACATGGATCATGTGAGGAAGGCCAAGGAAATCACGGTCTGGGACACTTTAGAGCTTCACTGTACAGAGCAATTCCTTGCAGAGGCTGTGCAGCTCCAAGCACTGTTTGCTTCTAATCTCAAGAAATCACTGGGAACAGTAAAGCATCAGGAATTCATGGCTGGGGTCCCCCAGTAACGTTCTGCTGGGGAAGGGGAATCAATACACTGAGGCACAGGGGACAAAGGCACTTGTGAGTGACCTAAGGGGGAACAGGAAAGGCACCTCAAACTCTGGGCACTTCCTTCTGGAATGGCAGGAGGGGAATCTGGCGTGTGGGCAGCACAGACCAGGTGCTGTCAGGCTGGTGGTTTTGGAGATGTGCTCTTCAGATTGCTCTAAAAACCTCAAATTAAGCAAAAGTAAACAGAGGAGGGTGTGTGGAAGCAGGTTCACCTTGCTGTGGGTCCTTTCAGTGTTCCTCTGAAGTCCCACTGGGGTGGGAAGTGGCTCCCATTTGTCTCATACTTACTGAGAACTTCTCGTAGAGCTGGTAGGTGAGCAGGGGGTTGGGGAGCTCTCGGAAGTACAGCTTGCACAGGGAGCCCACACAGTGGATGTCCTGGATGTAAATGTCCTTGGTCAGGTCGGGAATCTGCTCCGAGTCAAACTCGTGGCTGGAAACAAGAGATGGGCCAAGGAGTTTGAGAAGGAGCAATGAAATCAAACCCAGCAAATTACAGTCAAGCAAAGCAAGGGTTTCCTGGTTTACAGGAAAAAATAAATCCTTAGTCACCAAAGCCACGTGACCCACGGCTTTGGGGTTGCTACAGGGGATTTTTCCAAAAATCAGACTTTATTTTTTTTCTAATAAGGCATTTTCAGTGAGTTTTACAAACAATTGGCTGCAACCCCTTTTGCTGCATCAGGGCTTTTCACAAAGGCTTCAGAGAAAGCTTTCCAAGACCCCAAGGACAATCTGTTAAACTCCCAAGGGCTGTGCCTGGGATTGCCCACAGATCTGATGAAAGCTGTCCCTCTGCATTTCAAAGGTCTGGGAATTGCAATGATAGAGCCATGCCAGCAGCAGTGCCACGGGCAGCACATGGAAACCAGCGTGTGCAGAATTCCTGGGGGACAAACTGGTGAGCCGAGCCTGCCTCTGCCACGGGGTGAGGAGAGCCAGGAACCACATGAAGAACATCCCTGAGCACTCCTTTGGTTTTCAGAGAGAGGGAAAAAAACCAAAATCACAACCATTTACGAAATAAAAGCTGAGCTCAGAAGGCCAAGGGCTGGAATACGTGCATGGAAAGTGCTGTTTCCAATTAGGCCAGATCTGCAGGGATGAGTGTGGTGAGTCAGGCCTGGGGGCTGGGGGAGCTCGGCTGGTCCTGCTGGACCTCGGGGTCCCTGCGAGGGTCTTCAGGATCAGAAGGGCTGATCCTGCCTGCACTGCCCCCACAGCTGTGTCTGGGCTTGGTGCAAACACCCCTGGCCTCTCCTCCACCCAAAGCAGGCAGTTTGTGACCCCGAGGGTGACAGAGCCCCTCAGCACAGCTCCAGCACTGAGCCTGCCCTGCCCACGGAGCAGAACCTGCCTGTCCCCGTGCCCAGGGCACCAGGAGTGCTAGGAACTGATCCCTCAGCATCAGGATGAGCTCCTTCCATCCCTAGACATGGACACTGTGTGTGGGAAGCCCTCACTCTGCCAGGCCGAGGGGAAGGAGAGGGTGAACAGTCCCCCCCTGCTCCTCATCCCCAAGGCAGCACAGAAGGGAAGGAAGGTCCCTGCCTTGCCCACTGACACTGCCTTCCCCCCTGCAGCCACAGCCCCTGGTGTCCAGCACACACCACACCACAGGCACTGACTCACCCCTTCCTCATACTTGGGACAGAAACTTCTGCCCTGCACTTGGCTCCACATTAAAGCTCAGAAGGGAGGGCAGGGACAGCCCCAGCCCACCCCTACAAGGTTTTTAAATCCAGGAGATCCAACTCTTCTGTGTGAAACCTTAGCACAGTGATTCATTTATAAGGACACTGCAGCTCTAGCTCTGAAATGAGCCCAATGCCCTGTTTATACAGCTGGGAACTAAAGCAACACAGTGAGTCCTGCCTTAATCAAACACTGGAAATCTGCAGTGACTTAGATGAACAGGCGTAGTGTCAATAAATGCCATGTAGTCCCTTCCTTTTGTCTTTGGAACATCTCAGAAAACTGGAAAACAGGCTGTCATTTCAGTCTCTGCACTGTACCAGGGAATGAAGCCATTGAAGTCTTAGAAAACCATTTTTAAATGGTTTAAATCCCACCTTTGATACACAGTGAAGGAGAAAATGGTATTGGCAACAAAAAGGGGGAAAATGGACTAAGGTAGAGATTAGGATGGTCCAGCACAAGTCAAAATGGGGAATTAAAGGGAGGATGTGACTGAAGCAATGGCAAATGTTTTATTCAGCCAGGACTGCTGTGGGCCACAGCTCCAGTGGGAGCCTTTGGATCCTGCATAAAAACCCCTCAGGAGCATTCTTTAAATGAGACTTGCTGCAATGAGAAACAGGATTAATCTGAACCAGAATAAACCCATCCATCCAGGGGTTTGTACAGTCACTGTCCCAGCTCCAACCTGCCCACTAAGCTGGGGAAGAGCTGGTTCAAAAAGGATATTCTGCATATGGAAAATCCTCCTGTGCTGCCTTTGTCAGGATCAGTGCTGGAATTAGTCACATCCCACTTGGCACTCTCAGTCCCTCCACAACAGAACATTCCACACAAAACGGCAGGAGGAAAAACTGCCTCACAAAGAGATAAAGAGAGTTTACTGAGATGGGAACAGCTCCTAACCTGCAGGACACACACCTGGCCTCTCCCTGCACAGCACAGCAATGCCACCCCCAAGGATCAGGCACATTTCCTCTGCACATTCCCAAATAACTGCTAATCAACCAGGAGTCCAAGGCAGCACAGGGAGCGAGCAAAGGGCTCCAGGAGCGAGAAGGAACAGGAATGAAACACGACAGCACATGATCCTGATATTTCATCCTGAAGGGAAGCTTTCTGCAAAGGGAACGTACTCCTGGAAGCACAGCCTGGGCCCTGCCCAGCACTCAGGTGTCCCCAGCCCTTACCGGAGTTTCTGGATGTTGGAGGCGATCCCGGACAGGCGGTAGATCCCATCCACGATGCCGTGCTTCTCGATGAACTCCGTGCAGCTCTTGAGCACCTGGGGGACTGAAGAACAGGAGGTATTGGTTAATTGAGCAGTTCGGGCTGTGGTCTTGCCAGGTGTCATAAACCACCCCCAGCTGGGCCATGGATTTACTTCTTCCTTAGAGGAGAAAGCCTGTAAGAAATTTTACTTCAGGAGCTGGTGTGGAAACTGGTCAGAGGTGTTTATTTTTATAAAGCAATGCCAGGACACAAATCAGATTGAAAAATTCAATTCTGCTTGAGCAGAGACAGCACAGGTCCCATCACTATTCCCATGGTGTTAAATACCATCCAAGAAGAGCTATAAAATTGAATAAATACTGTCTTTTAAATCTATACAGGATTAACCTCAGCTGCTTGGTTTCAGCAAACATAAACATCAGGGAGATGCTACTTCTGGCACCACAGCCAGGAGAGTCTTTACAACTGATAATTTCCTTCCCAGTGTGTGCTGGAGTGTGGCTGCAGAGAGCTCCACAATATCCTACACTCATAGAAAGTGCAGACAGAGCAGGGCATGACAGAATGGAAAAATCAGCCCAGAGGACATAATTAGGTGCCAAGTTAATATTCCAGCCGCTTCACCAACTGATTCCTTCCAGCTGGCTTCCCAGCCTCATGCACAGCCACTGCTGGAGCTGTGTGTCCATCCCAGGGAGCTTAAGGAGGAGCAAATCACTGGATTTATAAAAGAGATATAAAACTCTTTTAAAACACGGAGAGAAAATCGGGAGAGAGCTCTTGTGAGCATCAGCAAATCCTCACGGAGAGAGCTGGGATCCCTGGGCATCCCTGTGCCAGCCACCTTTCAGCCACAGCTCCTCTGCTGATGTAGATTTACTTGTACATGAGATGCCAGGTCTGATCAATTCTCCCTGTGACACACATTCTGAATAGGTCATGTGGCAAATCCCCTCAGATCAGGCAGCAAATGCCATCTGCCATCAGCTCTGCCCGCTGCTGCTGCACAGGGGGCTGCAGCTCCCCCAGCCCCTTCCCTGCTGCCCTGCCAGCAGAAACCCTCACAGCTGGAGAACAGACTCCTCTGAGGGGGTTCCCTGGAAATCAGCAGGTGTATCCCAGGATAAGGGCATGCCTGCCCTTGAGCACAGGAGGGACTGAACCCTGTAAATCCTGTCAGTCACACAGGCTCAGCTGGAGCAGATTAGGCCCTGGACCTGGGATATTCCAAGACACCAAGAGACAGCCAGACCTAACGAGTCAGGCTCTAGGGTTACATTCCCAGGCATTTACAGCATCTCCCACTATTTACCAAAGCCAGGTGTACACTCTGGGGCAAGCAGAGGCCTTGTACTTTGAGCAAAGAGCTTTGGAAACCAAGGGCTGCTTGTTTTGGGAAGAAAAACCACGTTCTGATGTCCCTGTAAGTGCAAGGAAATGTCAGAAGACAGAACCTTGGCACTGCTGGGCCCTGAGTAGGACCACAGCTGCTGGCATTTCCAACTGCCTGGATGCAGGAGTCCCACAGGATTGGGCAAAGGAATTTCCCCAAGTTTTCAACTGTTGTGACAAGATCTGCTAACGCTGCAAATCCCAAACACCACAGTGGTCCATACTGGAACCTCAGCAGGGGTCTCCTTGAAATTAGTAGAACACATTGAAATAAATAAAGAAATAAGAAATAAATAAATAGGCAAATAAATCAAGAAGTAAATAAACCAAGAAGCAAATTAAAAAAACAAAAGGAGCAAATAAATGAATAGCACATTCCCTGCCTGCCCAAGTTCCCAGCAGGGAAGGGCAACACTCACACACATGATCAGCTCTCCTGTGTACCTGCCCACCATGGGCACAGCTGGAACACCTGCCTGTGCTTCCTGAAGGAAGGCCTGGCCACGGGAGTGAGCTCTTTGTGTGCCCCCTCCTGGAGTTTATTTAGCTGTGCCAACACATAGCACGGGACAACAGCACTTATGGAGCAGCTCAGCCCAGCAGCAGCCTGGGGTGATGATGTGGGGCAGGACAGGAGGGAAGGGGAGGGCTGGAGCACCAGTACCCTCCCTAAAGTACTCTTCTGTCAGGGAGGAGCCTGAGCACAGTTAGAATAACTAGTATATCCAGAAAAAATCCCAGCAGGCTTGTTCCCAGCATCTCCTGATCAGGTTACCAAGATGATGTATTCTTTACACTAAATATATCATGGATATTCTGGGGGAATTCTGCACAGTGGGAGAAGGGACTGAGATCCAAGGAGGGCTGTAATTGCACCTGAGGGTCCTTTGCTGGGGTGGTGACTTGGTTTTTCAGATTTTTAAACAAAGCTGACACCTGACAATTGGATGTGTGTTTAACATCCCTCTGCCCTTTGAATCCCAAGCCCTTTAGCTAAATACACATTGTTATAGATGGATATACACACATATGGAGGCAGGATGACAGCACAAGCTAAGACTTAATTTTGTGAATGTCAGGTGTGCCAAGACCATCCCCTACAGCAGCTGGGACTGGTTTGGTTGAGTCCCTGTTTCCATCTGCTCCATAAATCCCTCCCCTGCTGCAGGGGAACTCCTCAGCATTCAGGAGCTGAGTTTGGCTCCTAGATCCCAGACCACATCCCAGATTGGAGCCAGACAGGGATCACAGTAGGGAACCGAGGGAGATTTCCTCTTCTAGGATGTAGTAACAGCAACATTGCAGTTCTATTAATGTCAGTGAATTACTGTGGTTTCCTGCAATTACAGCACCCAGACTGATGACACACGTGGGCTGCATTAACAGCCACAAGGCCCCCCCAGCTCAGCACCCGGGTCCTGACAACCACCAGGTCACTTTGGGAAAGGGATGAGGAGGGAACAGGGTAACACTCAGTTCTTCCTCCAGCCCCATGTGCTCAGGGAACCACTGGTGCCCGTGGTTACCCAGCCCAGCTCACAGTCTCTGCAGTGCCACCTTCCCAGGCAGGCAACAAAAACCTCTGATCCTCGGGGTGGTTTTATTCCTTTGCTGAGACACGGGGCCTTCAGCCACTGGCTCCTGAAAACCTCCCTGCAGTGAAGTCACTGAGTGCAGGTGGCTAAAATCCACTGCCAGTGCTGCCTTCGAACATCCACCTCTTCAGTGGAGCACTGCACATGTGTCCCATCCCAAAATCAATCACCTTTCCCTCCTTCCCTCCCTTTGCTGTCTCCAATATCAGGCAGTTTCAGGAAGCAAAGTGCAAAAGGCTCACCGAAGGGGACCCAGCACATCTCATCACCACAGCAGCTGAAGGAATTCATTCAACTCATTCCTGAGCATCTCTCAGCTGCTTTGAAAGCTTTATTGCATCTCTGAGGGCTTGTTAACTGGTTAATTCTCTGCCATTAAGAGGAAGCACTTTTATGGGCTTCACTCTGAAGAACATTTTGATTCATTCCCAAATCAGGCCCATTTCCTTTCCTATCATCTTGGGCTTATTTTTTTCCTCATGAATCTTTTGTAATGTTCCCTCCCTGGGTTTTGGGAGGCTTGCTGGTGCTTTGTTTTATTTTCTTAGCATGTGAATCAGAACTATTTGTTTAGCCTGGGGCAGAGGCCTCCCACCAAGCTCTCCAGGGGCACTGTGCTTTTCCCAAACCCACCTCTGGGCTGGGTAATGGCCCATAGCAACCGAAATGCTGCTCCTCAGCTGAATTCCACACATAGCAAACCCACACAGGGATCCAAACCTCCAGGAACATGGAAAACCACTGCTCTGCACCACCTGAGCAGAGGGGATAACTGTGACTGAGTGCCAGGAGGTTGGGAAGCTTATGGAAAATCCAGAACTGAGCAACAGAAGGTTGTTTTGAGCCACAAGAATAGAAACTGAAACCATCAGCCATCAGATAAAATGCAGGTGGAGGCAGCTCACTCTTGGTTGCCCAGGATGTCCTTGGATCAGCCAGGAAGGACAGGTAAGGACAGGACAGGCAGGGGATGAAGCACCCCAAGAACACCCAGCACAACACAAGTGGTGCCACTGCAGCCTGGACATGCCCCTTCCTTGAAACTTGGTGCCCAGCTGAGACCCTGACAACTTCCAGACATCTGAAATTAGGCACATAAATCCCAACTCCCTTGCCATTAATGCAGGATTACGTAAAAACCTAACAGAGAATATCCTCACCCAAAGAAATATAGATGCTTTTACCCCAAAAGTCTTCCTATTTTAACTCAATTTTAGAAGCCTTAAGGTCGGAAAAGTCCTCTAAGATCATCAAGTTCACTTTGCAAAAAACTGCCCAAGTATTTCCTTAAAAAAACCCAGTAAAAAACCTGTAATATTTCAGCCTATAACTTGTTCCAGGAACCTCATTTCAAACTACTCATATCTGAAGCTCTTCCCTCCCCTCAGAGTGTAGGTTACACGCAGGTGTAAAACCAGCAGCGGGACAGAGATTAAGGATTTTATTTTTATTGTTCCCAACCACACAACTGCACCTGCATGTGGCACTTCACAGGCACCAGCCCTGCATATTCAGAAAAACATGGAGCTTTAAAAGATTCTCTTCTCAGGACTTTTGTCCCACTCCTAAATCCCTGTCCTGATGTTTGGATCACCAGGAATAAGACAGAAATACAAAACCAACCAAGGATCCGCCTTCCTTCAAGATGCTCAGGGTGTTCAGGGCCAGGTTGGATGGGGCTTGGAAGGTGTCCCTGCCCATGGCAGGGGGTGGGATGAGATGATCTTTAAGGTCCCTTCCAACAAAAACCAGTCTGGGAGTCCATGATTCTTCGATTCTCCCTCACTTCCAAGAACTGACCCACGTTATTATTCCCACTTGTGTAAAATCCAGGCCCTCTGTCATGAGCTGCCCCATTTCCTGGTCACACACATTGATTTTTTTCTGGACTTATGCACTCGGGAAAGGGCAATCCTGGAAGAGGGAACTGTAACCCATGAGCTGGATCCATGAGCAGATCCAGGCACAGCTGGAATCAGCACTGGACTCTGCTTTGCCAGCCTGGACTTTTCTTTTATGGCAGCTCAGCCAGGGCTGGGTGAAAGCAAAGTGCAAAGTTCAAGCCTGAGGAAC